CCCACACACACACCTCAGGCGGAGCCCCCCTCCTCTGTCCTGTAATGCCCACAGTAGGCATTTTTTAAATTTTGCCTTGGGGTGGAATTATCCTTTCACGGGAGGGGGGGGGCACTTTCAGCATCATATAAACTGAAATAGAGGCGAGCTGGATGCACATAGAGATCAGCTGTGTGTGTGTGTGTGTGTGTGTGTGTGTGTGTGTGTGTGTGTGTGTGTGTGAGTGAGAGAGAGTCGAGTGACACTTCTGCTGCAGAATCTGAGGGGAGTGACTGGTAGATCACAGCTGTGAAGACAGTCAGTCACCAAATGAGGAACTTCCTTCAGAACGAGAACAGATATTGACAAGTTTTCATCAAAAATGCTTTAGAGSGTGACACGGGAGTGAATTTTTACTCCTGTCCCGTCCCAATCCTGGTGCAATGACTCCCACTCCCATCCRGCTCCCATTWAAAATGACWCRTGCTCCTGTACCGCTCCCATCTTTTCTTCCTAATTCACTCTTAGGCAATACAATTAATTTGATTTAATCTTCACCACAATGTTTTTAAGATTACTTTGTGTTTTACAGTTTGATTTAAAAACATATAGCACCAGGAACAGTTCATCTCTGGCAATARAGGGAGGCATTTTTTGCCTTAATGTAAACAAAAAAAAAAAACCATCACTAAAGAGCACAAAACATATAATACATGACCTGTGATCTCTATAGATTTTCCTACAGAGGACCAGCTGTTTTTAGCTCATTTGGAGGTCAGTTAGTTGAATAAACCCCAACATAAAATGTTGCATTTTACTCATTTATTGAGCAATTGTGTCCTTAAAACAGTGACATTACTTTTGTTTTCTTTTACTCAATGAAAAGACTGCACAAAACTTGTAAACAAAAGTGCATAAGCTAGATACTTTCTGTTTTAAACAGGTTGTGATATTTGATCTCGTATATGTTCTGGAATGCAGAGGAAAACACCAGGTCAAAAGTTTGCTGTCATTAGTGTGCACAGTATTACAAAGTGCACTCTTGTTCACAAGAGAAGAAGCCCAGCCCGTACAGATTCTCAGGAAAAGTGAGCCGTGGTYTTTCCAAAGAAATGTCAGCCTCTGAGCCGTAACAGCAATTTCACAATGTTTCCTTGGAACAGAGCAGGTAGGAGGGGGAGATCTGTATATAAAGAGCATGAGAGTGTCTTCAGAACCACTAGCTTTCAAACATCCAGGTGACTTCATCGAGCCAACTGTCTGCAGACACGTAAGTCTTCGACTCTTCAGCTCCTGATTTTACTGCAAAATTTCAGATTTCGTTTATCATCAAAACAGTTTCAGAAATGATCTAGAGGTCATTTTTTTATATTTAATATTTTAATATTTCCATAACAAATACCTTCTTGGTATATTTCAAACTTTAAAAAAAACTCAGGCCCTTAT